CGTCATCCAAGAATCCAGCCAAGAACCAAATATTGCCAGTGATAAAACGTCTCACGAACTCCGCTTTAATCAATACACACATCCGCACTTTTTCCTCCCGAAAATATCACTATTTACTCGATTTACACATCACGTCCAATTCCTCAGAAAGTGTCGTAATCAAATCGTTCACACGAATCGATCAACAAACGGATCAATTCCAGAGAAATTAGTCTGTCGCCATGGTGTGAATTTGGCTCAGTGATCAGACGGTTGATTTTTCTCTCGAAATAAATCAGGCTCGGTTTATAAAATAAAGCTATAATTCGCTGGTTTTCTTATAATTGAGGTCTTTTTGGGAAATTTAAGCCTTCTGTCGAGTTATAAATGAAGTCTGCTTGAAAATAAATGCTCGGGAATTTTTGTACAGCATTACATGTGTTTTTCACTAAATTTTAAAAATTGTTTGCATACTGTACCGCGGTTAAAATGGAGAGGATTCGGAAAGTGTAGCTGATCATATCGTAAAAATTGCCGCATTGACATACTCATCGTATTTATTATTCTTTCATTAATTATGAAAGTTCCATCTCCAAATCATCAGTTTGAATCCACATTTTATTGACAGATTTTCACGGTGTTAGAAGACTGCATTATTTCTTCGTTAAACGATTGATACAGTACGCATTTTTAATTGTCGGCTTCAATCACCATATGAAGTGCAAGTATTGTCAAAGATTCTGAATGATAATTAAATCTTAGTGAGACACACACAGACCTGACGACCATGTTTCAAGGAAACGCGATAAACTCTCGGGAAAAGAACACGTACGACCTCCTCTTAATCTTGCCTTTTTGCTATTGAATCCACAATCGGTCAGAGGACTGTGAACTAAAAAAAAAAAGGCAGCCAAAAAATTAGATATAAAATAAGTGACAGCAGTTTTAGAAAATTCCTTTACATTCATTTTAATTATTGTACTTCGGAGCAGGAAGAAGGAAGGCAGCAGAAAAACCAAAGATGCGGTCCGCTGTCATATGGAAAAAGTTTTTATTAATCGAGGAACAGCATTCATTAGTTAACAATGACTACTGACATCAATCGTCAAAGTCATTAAACCCACACAGACTGGCTCCCCAAGAAAATTGCGTAACGTTTCACACCCCTCAACCATAGCTCGGTTTAACATGACGTTGCAGAAATTAAGTAAAGAGCCTATTCTAAAACACTACTGCATTGAACCGTATAATTTTGGGCAAGGGCTTGACACTCGGAACAGCTTGAGACAAAGGGGAATAGAAGGCATTTAATTTCACAATGACCTCATTAGACGGCTATTAATTCAATGAATGCAGTCGAGCTGTTTGTTTACCGTAACGCAATTGAATTCTTAAGGAGTTGCTCAAGAGATAAAAAAAAAAACTAGAGGTCGTGAAAACTGGGCATTTTCACGCAGCATGAATAAATAATTAAACTGCTTTCGGCTCATTATTCCTTTAGGCAAGTACAGTACTGATTCTCTTATTTTAGAGACAACTAGGTATTTGAATCCAGGTCTAAAGACGAGAATCTATTTTTTGTAAGCCATCTTCCTTATTCAGGAATTCACTCGGAGAAAAAATAATTCCTCCGCAGGTTCAAGGAGAAACGCGAAATTTTTTCGGCCCACACGCCGAGACTTTTTCCATAAAATTTGCCCCCGCTGCTAAAATTTTTGCTTGTCAAAAGAAACCGCCTCGGCTTGAGCTAAATCACGGCTACAAGTCTGCAAAAGGGGTGCCGATCATGAGAGGAAAGAACAAAAAGCTCTTCCTTTTTCCTTTCGTCGATTTTTTTTGCACCAGACCAAGAAAAATTCTTTGCGTTGAAGACGGAGATTTGCCCGGTGAGAACCGAGGAACCTGCTGAATAAATCTCGGAGAGCGTTGAAGTACTGCGCCATTCTCTAGCCTTGATTTGCCCCCATGTATAGTATAATTTTTCTTTTTGCGAAACGAATCTCCAACAGCTCAAAAAATAAATCGTTGGAAAATAAATTTTGCTGTTCGAGCGCAGCCGCAAGCGAAGCACAAAAAAGTTTCGCGTCGGAAAACCCGGATGCAAGAATTTCCACGAATATGACTGTGAAGTTTCCTGAATTAACCCACCCCTTTTGCTTCAATTTCTTGATCATAAAAGCAGAAAATCTATTCAATTTTCTCGAAATTCCCTGGATATAATTTATGATTTTTTTTAGCTTCGGACCATGGGTAAAATTCGAAAATCGAACCTTGAAAAGAGCTTTTTAATTCCCTGTTGCGGAGTCCAGTAATTCAGCAAATAAATAATTCATAGCATAATTTCACTGTTTGTGTAGAACTGAACACGTTGTTGATGTAAGATTTTGTCTCGCGCATTTGAAATCATTCGAACGACCCAAAATTGGTGATTGTAAATGCATGCTCCTCAATATATACTGCGCATAATAATGATGCAAATATTGATATGACTTTAACTTTTTAAATGTTGCATCGATGATGCTAAACCCAGAAGTTCAAATTGATTTGACGCTAATAAATTTGAATATTCAGCGTGCAAGATTTTTTCCAAGCATAAAAAGGAGGAAACTGAAGCTTAGTAGTTTTTGTAACAAACGTGAGAATGGAGACACCTGGTGAAAATATCAAATATTTCAGAGAATGGTAGATTCATTCCTATCCTGAATTGCAACCAATGCAAATCATTTCCAGATAAAATAGATATTTTAAAAAAGATCTCAAAGCACTTTTTTTTAGTTCCAGAGTTCAGTTCATCGCAGAGAAGCATTTATATCTTTCAACCAATGGCTTACCTTAATTGATACATGCAGCTCATGCATTTTACTCGCACGCACCAAATCAATTTTCAAGAGGAATAAATAAAACAGCTACAAAAAATCCAACATCAAATTACTAGCTTTTTGCAACGAGCAAAATTGAAAACGACGAATTTCGCTTCGGACAAAAACCAATTTTTGTCTGACCCACAAGGGCGGGACTTCACATGATGCAATCGTGAAATTCCGTTCCACGTACAAAATTTCATCCGACTCAAATCTCTCGGCAAACTTCCGTTGATACCGATTTTTTCTCCTAAAAAAATATCAACATCCCACGATTCGAAACGAAAACAAAGCCCTTGTGTCTCGGGGAATCGGTTGAAAGTTCCTCTGGCCACCGAAACACGAATTCCGGACGCGAGTTCATTTGCATCTCGGGGTTCGTTTCCCCTCGGGGCCTGCTGCTGCTTATTCAGCATCTTTTGCAGCTTCCCGAACGTTAAACCCAAAAAAAATAAAATTATACCGAATAAACCCCATTCGACTAGACGAGGAAAAAAATGAGCTTACCTAAAAGAGCATATACGAAGCTTCCGAAGGCTCGAGAGAAAATTCTTTTCCCGTCGCCGTTTTTCAGTGAGATGAAACGAACCGGTACTAACCTGCAATGACATGGAAGATAATACATTATAGTTTATTTCACTGGTTTTAAAGACCCAATATTCAATAATAAATCAAGAAATAGAGTGAAGAGAAAGACGGAGGATGTGTTCAAGTCCGGAGAACGAAGAATTCAAGTACAATACTGTGCTAATCAGCGCTGGAAATCAGCGTTGCTAAAATCACACTAGGTGAACCTCATCATATAAAAAATTCAAATCATGACGCATGAAATATATTAGATAATGAATGAGTAAATCAAGGAACAGCGAACTGAGTGCAAAATCGTCAATTTCTTTCTCGATCACCCTCACACTTCTCACACCCGAAAAAAAGGCATTTTCAAGTTTCCAATTGAACAACAAGCAGGCTGTCGAAACGAGTCCGTCGAGTCGAATTTTCGTATTTTCAATTTTTTTCATAAATAAAAAAAAAATCATTCGTTCCGGAATTGAAAGACAGGATATGACGAAACGGAAAACGGCAATACAAAGCAGCAGGTATATAATTCTTGGTCCCACACAATGTCATTCCGAAACTTCACACATTTCCTCGAAGACTATGGATATAATCGAATATTTTTTTAGTCGATCGAAAACCTGTCAGAAATTCAATCTTTGAATAGTGGAAAAGAAAAACAATTGAATTTCTTTCTCTTTTTTTTCGCGTGAACACCAGCTCGCAAACAGCCTCGAGGAACGTTTCTCCTTCCAAGTCTCAACACAATTTTCGATCAATTCAAAAATTACAACATTGATCTCATCGTCCATACGGATGAATATTATTTTACATGAAAATGGTAGGAGCCCCCTCTCTGAATTCGCGTTGAAGTGAAGAATTATTCTCGACACGAATCCCTCACTACCCAGCAACGCATATCTTGTTACTAAATCAAGAAAACGGGACGGAGACTCATTTCAGGTGACAGGAAAACTGGTTTCCAACTTGCTTACTGGGCAAGAAAAACGACCTGGATATGCATTCTTATACTCTACGTATGTATCTGGCATCGTCCACCTTATTTACTTTTTTTATTTTGTTTTACTTAAGGTTCAAGTACCACGACGAATTCATTATCCTCGAGCACATTCTTCGGGATCAGGTTCTCAACGTGAACTTAGTCATGGCGTTGATACT